TCCGCACCTTACGCACCTCGAGTCGCAATGACAAGCCTTGGAGCTGTGGTAATATCCCTGACAGTTAAAGCACTGTAGGGTTTCTTTGGTTGTTTTGATTTCGTCTTCAAAACGAACTCTCATATAGCACAAGTTTGTTACTTTTCTTATTTTTTGGATGTCATCCTCTTTGAGGGTGATCATGAAGAAAGGCAGTATGTGTTTTCCTTCTTTTTTAGAGTACATGTTACTTACTCTGGTTGCGTCTATTTCCTTATTTCTCAATTCATTGAGAATAAGTTCTGTACTTGTGCTCGATGCGAGCCCTTTTAGTATAACCCTCTTCAGCTTATCGCTGTCTATTGGGTAGGCAACGTACTCTACCTTAGGGGAATGCTCCTCTAGGATTTTTACGACTCCTAGGTAATCTTCCCTATTCTTTGTGTTTATGACAATAGATCTGCCTGATCTGGCAGACTTATTGTCAAAAACGATACCTTTTTTGGCCGCTTTCTGCAGGATTGCTTGATGTTCTGCGACCGTCTTTAAGATGATCGCAGGAGGTTTCGGTTTCTTAACGCTAACCTCTGTAGGTATCTGAGGGTTAGCGTCGTTTTCTTTTTCAACTTGGGGCTTTGTCGTTTCCTTTGCTTGTTTGTTTTTTGTTGCCTCCAAGTTTTTCTGGGCTTTGTTTTGCTCACTGCGTTTTTGCATATCTTTCGCGGCCTTAGTGAGCGCTTCGTCGTTTCTGGCGTTTATTTTTTGAGTTTGCTTTTCAGCAATACTCAAATTCTTTTTTGGTTTCTCGCTACTGGCGACTGATTTCTCAGTAGCAGGTGCCTTTTGTTTTTTTCTTTCTTTTGGACTTTTGTCCATCCTGCTTCGCTTTTGTTTGTTTGTTCCATTACCTTTGGCTCTTTCGGCTTGCCACCGTTACCAGAGGTGCTTGGGGGTGAGTTTTCCCATGGAGGGGTTTGGGGTCTTAGTGGCCTGGTGGCTTCCCAGAGGTCGGCATTTTGTTCGTGGTTTTCTTTTCTATTGGTCAGAGCCATTATATGGCCGACCAGCTTCTTGATCTCCTCGTCTTTTTCTTTGTTTTCTTTGCGTAGCTCAGTCATCTGAGCTAGGAGATCTTGTATTTGGGCGTTTGCCTTCTGCTCTCTCAATCGGCTCTCTTCTTTGAGCGATTTTATTTGTTCGGTCAGTGCATTGACTGACTTAAAAAGCTCATTGGCTTTTTCTTGGGCCTCCATCTCTTTTGTTCGTTTCGCTTCGTCCTCATCTTCTGAGGAGTCTGCGGTCGGTCGCTGGCGTTTTTTCTTTTTGCCTACCTCCGGCTCGGCACCAGTCACTGTGGAGATGATGTCCACGTTAGTTGGGGGCGGGGCTACGGTCGACTCGGTGGCCGGGCTCAGCTCCTCGTCGACGTTGTCGATGGAAACTTCCATCGTGATCGAAACGCTGTCATCCGTTTCTACTTCGCTGTCTGTTTGGGTCTCTGTTTCTATGGGAACGTAGTCATCATCGTCGGTTTCGTCTTGGGGCGCGGAATCATTATTTAGGTTCGCGGTGAAATTATTATAGATTTGTATTGCAGTAGCAACAGACGGGGTGGATGACTTGGGCTTGTCATCGTCTTCTTTTTCTTGTGATGTCACCTGCGTGACATCACTTTTTTGGGGGGGGGGAGATTATCACTCATATTGCCGGAAGGCAGAGAACATAAGTTCAAAAAGAATTATTGGAGTTTATTACTCGGAAGACTCTGTTTTTGTCTGCCCGTCTAGCCGCTGCCAGACGGTTTTCCTGGGTGTCGTCCCAGCAACCTCGCGGTAGTTCACTCCCTGATTTCTCAGGGAGGGATCCTCTTCAAGTTTCACAAACGAGGGGGCGTTTCTGTCCGACCTAGAGTTCAGAAACTAGGCCTTACAGTGTCATACCTGTCGACCCACTGAGGTTATCCCGTATTTTTCGCAAACGCGAAGCTATTTAAAGCCTCCGCGAGGGGCCTATAAAGGCAACCCCTCGGCGGTTTAACTTAGAAACAGCCTCGCATCCGCTTTTCGCCTTGGTAAAGGACAAAGGCCTGAGCAAACTGGGTGTCTTACTCACCCGGAGCTAATAAGCTCCGTCGCTTCAGGTCAATCGCCCCCACCTAAGCACACTTCGCTGATCGTCGCCTTGGCTCGCTGCTCACCGCTGCACGTCAGGATCGTTCGACCGCTGGAAGTCGAACTTATATGCTATGAATCTTACTTTCTGGTAAGTTTTTATAAACTTTTATATTACATCAGCCTAATGTTATAACACAGTAATTTTCATTGTAGACCTTGATAAAGGTGGCAAATAACCACCGAAAGCTCGGATTTCAGAATAAATAGTACGCCTTAGCAAAGCTCTATTTTTTATTGACTACCACACCCAAAAAGAAAAAAGTATTTACATATGTATATATATATATATATATATATATATATATATATATATATATATATATATATATATATATATTAATACAGTATTCAACTAGTGAATTCAGAGGTTATATATAATATATATATATATATATAATATATAATATATATATATATTATATATATATATATATATATATATATTAATAAAGTATTCAATTAGTAAATTCAGAGGTTAATCGGTCGTTCAGGTTGGCAAAATAAAAAACAGAAGTCAACTACTTCATAAGTTTATAGAAGACATTTTGCTTTATACTTCTAAAGCTTCATCAGTTCTTACTCAATATGTAGTATTAAAGATGATATATATATGTACTTAAGTTTACTCATTATTTAGAACTAACTTAAAAAAAAACAGAAACAAAGGACACAAAAACTTTGCAAAAAAATAGTATCATTCGCAGAAACGAAGATTTAACAAAATTTTAAACGTACATTTGGCTTCGATGGTTCTCCAATGAAGACGAACAAAACACTCACCAGTGTTTTGTTTGTCAAACACTGGTGAGTGTTTTGTTTATCTTCATTGGAGAGCCATCCCTAAATGAAGCCAAATGTACGTTTAAAATTTTGTTAAATCTTCGTTTCTGCGAATATTATTTTTTGCAAAGTTTTGTGTCCTTTGTTTCTGTTTTTTTTTTAAGTTAGTTCTAAATAATGAGTAAACTTAAGTATACAGTATTGAAAGATTCAAAACGGAACATACGAATTATTAATACAATTATTAAAATCCCCTGACCTGCAATTACCCAGTGTAAATTTCAATATAACGTCGCGATGTCTTATAATTAATTCGTTTGTTCGACTGGATTGCTACTCCTTGGCGATTTCTAGTAGCGTTTCTAGTAACACTGTTGTCTATCGTCCACTGATTTTCTGTGTTTTTGTGCAGATAATAACAATGTTTTATTAATAACAATTTTTTTGTGTTCATTAGATATTATTTGAATTGGTTAGTGTATAGTTTAATATATTTATTATTCCAAATATTGTTGATAATTTAAAATTTAAAAGGATGTATATGATACATCAAAATCTACAGATTTTTGCCGAAGGTATCTATCGATTTGGCAACAGTCCCAAGGAACATCACTGGCCGAGCAAAACAAATACATGCCCTTTGCTTTGCTTCTCATTATAACGCCATAAGCTGAAATAAAAGTAGTGTTTCTAACCATAAACCATGTATACAAACAAAGAAAAAGTACACATTTTAAAATGGTATTATGGGGGCAACTCGTACCGTGATATTATAAATTTATTTACTTGTGCGTATGAAGATAGGCCAATACCGACACAATCAACTATTAGTCGTATTATTAAGGTGCGCACGTGCGCAGCAGTCGAAAAATATCGACTGGAGAAGGAGTCCAGTCGAACAAATGAATTAATTATAAGACATCGCGACGTTATATTGAAATTTACACTGGGTAATTGCAGGTCAGGGATCTTAATAATTGTATTAATAATTCGTATGTTCCGTTTTGAATCTTCCAATACTGTATATATAATAAAATCTTTAATACTACATATTGAGTTGAAACTGATGAAGCTTTAGAAGTATAAAGCGAAAAGTCTTCTATAAACTTATAAACTAGTTGACTTCTGTTTCATATTTTGCCAACCTGAATGACCGATTCATCACTTCAATTACTTTCAACAAAGTTCTTAGAGCAAACACGAGCAAATTTAACATTAAACTTATTCTGGCGTTTACACAAATGTTTCCAAACAGCTTGCATTTCCTTGTCTTTTGGAAAGCTGTAAAATGCTGTACCGGGTACAAAACTCTTGCACATATTGTCAACGGCACAACCATACACTGCACACCTCATATCGGAAAAAATTTAAGGCCTTGTAACACTTTTAAAATATTATTTTATTAAATATTGGCTATGAACCGTAAATGTACATAAACGTCAAAACACAATATGGCGAAATTTAGCACAAGTTGACGTCACAAAAGTCATGCATAAGCCACGCCCACATGCGCGGTATCTTATCTGTTTGTATTTGTATCATAGGAGATTCACGTAGTGCTGAAGCCAAATGTATAGGTTTTATAGCTTTCAAAGCTTTTCATTTAAGGAATTTGCTGCTAGATTTATTAGTTACTGTTGAATGTATAAAGATTAATAACGACAACCCAACTGCTCAGAAATTGGCTTTAAATCCAATGTGAAATACGTTTCCTAAGCATACAAATAATTTCATAGGAAAAGTTTTCTCCAATATAGGTATTAGATAATATTGAACAACAAATGAAATTTTAGCAGATTTTTTAAGTAAAGAAATTTATTTACTAAAACGTTGTTTGTTGTTTAGGTGTAAGTTAGGTTTAACGATTATTTAGATAAATAAATAACTAAATAGTTACTAAATATTGAATATATTTGAGATTGTTTTAATTGTCATTATGTTGAATGTAAGTAAGTTATAGTTATTGCAAGCCAAGCTGAGTAAGCCCTTGTCATTATTTTTAGAATGCTTGATTTCTAGCCCTTGATTTCCACATAATAAAAAGATAAATAATAATCAATTTTTTACCTAGAATTGCTTTTTGCATGGTGATTAGGGTAGCTACAATTACTTTTAACAACTTATTAAATCTTTCCATTTCTTGTACAAGCACGGTATTCATCGATTCAGAGTAAGTTACAGGGAATTTGATGTATGCCGCTTCGATGTTAAATAATTTAGGCAATTTATTTAATATATCGGTACAAAGCATCATCAAATGTTTATCTGTTTCTCCCATTCCTCCTGCAGCTATATCTCCATAAGCTTTCAGCACAGATCCAAGAAGCAGATTGGAGTTCTGAAGATCTCTGGTTATTCCTAAAATAGATAAAAATCTTATAAGGCAAAAGGACTAAGTGATACATAACAATTATGGTATCTTAAAAACAGTCACACTAGAAATAGGATTGGTATAATTTCTGACGGAGAAATCAAAGAGAACGCTAAATTATAAGTTGGACTGTTTGAAGATGAAAGAAAAACTTTTAATATCGTTCTGAAGATATTTTCTTGTGACTTCTTAATGCAACTTACTATTTTTGTTGGAAATAAGCCACAATTTTACTTTAAACTCCAGAAATCGTTCTCAAAATACAATACAAAATATTATTAAAATAAATTAAATAAATAAATTTAAAAAAAAAAAAAAAACTTTATTATTGTTTTGTATTTGTATTGACCCACAGATAGTTTGCCGTGAGATATACTTTATTAATATTATTATTTTTAATAAAGTATGTTTATGGATTGCGATAGCGATGTTACATGCTCACGTTTGAATGGGTAATGATAAAAAAACGTTCTACGTTACAAAACTGTACAACAAAATGTTATAGGAGGGGCAGTAAATATCAGTCCTCGCATGTAAAATTATACTTTTTTAATTTGGTTATTTTCTAAGGCCCGTATATATATATATATATATATATATATATATATATATATATATATTATATATATATATATATATATATATATATATTATATATATATTATATATATATATATATATATATATATATATACTAAGATTGCAAGACTCATAATATTATTTTAAAATTAAGTAGTTAATTTTTACCAGCGTTTGTGTGCAAGCCAAAAACTTCGGGAGGATGCAGAACTGGCATGGCATTTATATGGTTTATATATACTTGGTAGTCAGATCTTTCAGGAAGGCCATAGCATTTGCCTGCGTCACTAAAAGTATAGCGTTTATCAGATACTACTAATGGATTAATATAATCGGCTAATATAGTCACAATCAGTCTTCGATCCCAATCATCCGTTACTCTTCCTCCGTAATTGCATTCACCAATTAGATAAGATAATGCTTCAAATGGATCATCGCTTTCATTTATAAACATTTGTAGTTGCTGTACTGATATGTCAAAATCCGAGTCGTTAAATCCTGAAACAACACCAAAGAAACATAATTTAATTAAAAAAGTGGTGTAATAAACTATTGCTTTATTAAATATAACAACATAAATTAAAAGGAATCTTTTAGGAAGAAAACTGGAAAAACTAATCTATTACAATATTTTAAGTATCTAAATTCGCCAGAGTGTGAATCCCACGTCATCTATTTTTAATTTTATATGTTGGAATTTATGTCTTTATTCTTTGTCAAAATTATGTTAAGAATACTTCTTCTATGATTGCGATAAGAAGCAAACAACGGTTTTGCGTTTTTATTATATATTAACAAATTTATGTTATCAGTATAAGAGATGTATATTCGTTAAATGACAAGTTGGATAGAAGGGAGAGAACACAAAATTAGATTTATTACTAAATAAAGCTACTTTCTATTATTCTTACATACCGTATTGGATATTCCAACCAAGTGGTCCAAAAGTGCGCCTTTCTTGAATACAAGCATGGAAGAATGCCAATCCATACAAAAGCCTTACGAACATTTCATGGTGATCCGGACAACCTAAGTAAAACTCAGGATTTCTAACTGGGTCACTTATGTAAGATTTTAAGAGATTATTTTGCAATCCCGTTGGAGGCTCATTGGTCATTTTAACTCCTTTTTGAAGTAAAGTAACGGGAAATTTGTCAGATGGATAACTTGTCAGCCACAATCTAAACTCAGGATGTGTATCATAGTCTAGATTATCAAAGATTTTCTCTAAGGTTGGCATCCAGGAGGTCGCTAAGTGACAGTTTTGAAGACAGACCCATGTTCCAATTTCTGATCCTTCCATTATCATTGCCTGAGCTACTGGTCCTTGTCCTAAAATCAGTATTTTCTTATTTATCAAGAATTTTCAATTCTTTTAAAAAACTTGTAATATTTATTTATTGGCAAACTATTTCAAATACGCAGATTCTAAAATCTTTTAAAACTGAAATTACATTAAGTAATCATAGAAAAACAAACATTGTACTACCTAATTGTCATACATGAAAAGACTTTTTTGACACACAATCTTAGAGAAAAAATAAATGTTTTATCGATATATCCACATGAAGAGAATAAACATTACATATCATGAATATAATAACAAATAATTCTTTAATCATCTTGATAATTTAATACAACCTGTAAATATATTTCACAATCCATATATTAGGGCTGTGCGTTAAGTATTTAGCCTACAAAAGATAAAATGAAAGTTTGGAAAACTAACGATTTATTTCTCAATATAATCTACTTTTAGTTCGATTCACTTGACCCAACGATGCTTCAACTTCTTTAAACCATCTGAAAAATACGTTTTCTCTAGGTCTACAGAATAGACTTCCGGGGCGGCGATGACCACCTGATTTGACTTAAATTTTTAGCCTGCCGAGTGTCTTTCAAAGTTATAAACAAAAAGAAGTCAGACGAAGCCAAATCTAGAGAATATGGTGGATAAGACAACAGTTTGTAGCCCAATTCGACCAATTTCTTTATCGCGACGGCAAATGTATAAGCGGGTCCGTTGTAATGTTTAAAAACACTTTTTTCTACGCTAAATGGGCTTCTTTTTTCTGCAATTCTGTTTTGCTATTTTTTTGTTTTGCCATTATACAGGTAGTCGACGTAGATCATCCCTTGTGATTCCCAGAAAATAGTGGCCATCACATTTCCGGCCAATAGGACAGTCCTTGCCTATAAATTCCTTCGAATTTCATTTAATTAGCGTCAAGGACTGCTATTAAGTGGTCTCATGGTTAAGCTTGTTGGCCGGAGTGAGTAAACGTGGCAATCGTCGCCGCAGTGAATATAAATTCACTTTTTTTATTTCTAATCATTTATGTATATTACTAGATGTTGGTTTGTTTCGGACATATACTTTGTTGTTTTGTCATTCATTCTTAATCCCATTGTCTTTGCTTTTTACAATAATTATTTTAGTATTTTCCTGATTTCTGTTTTTTGTATGCCAAGAAATAATGTTATTAGCCAACCTCCTGCTCCTACTGTTTTTTCTGCTATGTTTATTCACAGGTTGCCCCATTCTAATTGTATAACAACATTTGCCAGGTGTGAGCGCCAACAATTTAGAGGATATTATATCTTCTCGTCTCCCTATTTTTATTTCAACTTGTTGTGTTAATTCATGTACTTAGCTATGTTCGCAAGGTTGTTTTATCAACGACCTTCTTAAGAAGGATATATCTTTGATCTATTCTATCATTTAACATGGTAAATATTATTGGTTTGTGCTAATATTGCCAAATGCTTTCTTGAAATTTAGAAATCCACAAACGTCAACCATAAAGGTATATTATACTCATTTGTGTTCTCTATTATTTTTTTGATTGTATACAGGTCTTCTGTTATACTGTAATACTTTCTGAATCATGCCTGCGCAATTTTCCATTCCGATCATTTCTTGGTCATATCGAAGATCAAACAAAGAATATCAATAGTAAGAAAAGAGAAAGGCGCCTAACAAGGAAAATTAAACATATATAAAAAAAAGAGAAATCATACGATTTCTACGTGGCGAAATCGAATTCAAATATCAGCCACCGTGCTTCCTAAAACTTGCGAAGCAAACAGCTTGATGAATAAATCGGCAAGGGAATCTAAAATTGCATTCCAAATGCCGTGCATCATGGCCAATATTCGTAGTGAATTCGATTTCTGGTACTCCAAACGAAGTAAAGAAATAAAACACAATGACGGTATTAGACAGAAACATATATATTTGTATTTAATGATAAGAAAAAGAATCAGTACCAGCAAAAAGTAAAGCTAAAACTAAATGAGAGAGGGGAAGAAAATAACATCGAAGACGAATGGAATATCATCCAATCGACAATTCCCAATATAACAAGGGGAACATTAGGCGAAACCTCAAGCAAAAGAATTCAAGATTGCCAACATGTAATAAATAGCAAAAATACGGCTAGGCAAAAATATCTACACAGGAATTCTAGATTGAATAGAAGAGCATTTGAAGAACTAAGAAGGAATGCAAGGAGAATACGTAGAAGAAAAAAGAGAGAATCTTTAAGTAGAAGAATACAACAAATTACACATTATAATAACAAAGGGAGACTAGCAAATTTAACAAGAAAACCAAGCGATTTTACAAGAAAACAATTATTATCAGCGAGAAATAGGAACTAATGAAAAGGTGAAAGTAGCATTTTCAAAAGCTCTTAAGCCCAGAGAAAGGTAACAATAAAAAAACTATATACGTCATAAAACCTCTGAAAAGTAACAATGCCCTTGCACATATGAAATAACTGCAGAGCTGGTAAATAATGGTGGATATGCGCTATGGAAGCGTATCCATAAACTTATTTGCCACATATGGGCACTAGAAGTCATCCCAGGGGATTGGAAAGTAAAAATAATACTTTCTGTGTACAAAGGGGAGACAAACAACTCTGCGAAAATTATAGGGTCATGACAGTGTTACATGTTGCCTACAAGATATTATCAGGAATTATGTATAGTCATCTTGAAGCATTTTCGGAAGAAAAAAATGATGAATACCAATAGGGTTTCAGACTAAAGAGGTGAAATATAGACCAAATACATATGTTAGGAGGTATGAATGAAAAATATGCTGAATATAATATACCCAGCTATAACAACATATAGATTTCAAATACTCGTTTGATGGAAATAAATAGACACAAAATGTTAACTATCCATGTTAGAAATACTGGAAAGGTTAGTTAAACTTATAAAAATGACTGTATTTGTACAATTGTATATACAATTGTATGTACAATTGTATCCAAATGTATGTACAATTGTCATCCAAAAAGATGGATGGACGGCTTGAGAAAAACAGTCGGAAATTGGATACCGAAGGCGCAAGGTAGAGAACAGTGGAATAACATGGAGGAGACCTATATCCAACAGTGGATGCAAGAGGTTGAGGAATGTACAATTGTAGAGTATGGTACAAAAGTATGAAATAAATTCATCATTTTAGAAACAGATAACTCTAAAATAATCTTAAAACACGCAAATTTTTATTTTTATATAACCGTCAAATGCTGCGTATGTGTTGAAAATTACGTCATCGATGTTAGCGTAATGACGTAATCGACGATTTTTTAAAATACAAACCGAGGTTACGGGATACCTCATTTGAAAGGTCTTTTAATGGACTTGTAATGCACTTATTTGAACATTTATTTCTAGCAAAAAGTTTTAACCAAATCATATAGTCAAGATCTTTCGCATAGGCCACAATTTAAAAAACGTTTACTTTCCTCTAAAGGTTGAAGTCTTGCACACTTGGCAGATAAATTGTTGATAAATTTACACAACAGTCTAAAGATAAAGTGAAAAATACAAATAATCGTATTTTGAATTTTGATTTTGTTGAATACCATTATTTAATTATTCAACATTAGCAAACCAAGAACTCTAAACAGCAAAATAGCTGAACCTATTAAACACGAGGTTTGCATTACTACACAAGACTTCTGTTTATTACCTTGTCCAAGAGATATTGATTTAAACTTATCAGACATTTTCTTTCCGGCTGCAAACTTTACTAGCGCACTCATTGGATCAACTCCTGGAGATAAGATGAAAATTAATGGGCACAAGTTATAGGAATCGTCATAAGAAACTGATATATTAAATGGGGGTGGTTTTATAAATTTTTCATCCATCTCGTTCTTAACGAAATTTGTAATGGAACTGATTAGCTTGTCGGCCCTAAACACCCTTATCATTATCAGTCTTCTAAAACTGGTAAGCTGGTTTTCCCATTGAGCAGGTACTAAAAAGTCCTCTGTAAAATTATCGTACATTTCTTTCCAGATTGTTGCATCCCGTAAAATTGTACCGGAAAATCTATGAAAAGAAAAAAATCTATAGATAAAAATGAACAAGAAATTTAGTGGGTATTTATTGTACAAGACGATAAAATTGTACTTTATCTTCGAGAGCGTTTTTTAGCGTAGAGACGTCAGTCGAGACGCTATTTTTGCTCGAGAAGATAATGCGATTTTATCGTCGTGTGCAATACAATATTTTTTTCTATACCAAGACTTCAAGTTCAGGTAAAAATAGAATTTCAAAGAAAATTATATTTTTTAGCACAAAAATCGCAATTGTGTGCTCCATTGCTAGCGATATGAATTACTCTGTCAACAAATGTCAAACAAATGTTACAGAAAATCAATCCAGTACCTCGAATCAAGTGTTTAAGCAAACGAGTACAACTTGTGATGCTCCAAAGATACATATTTCTAATAATTTTAATTGTAAAATTTCAGTTGTTTTTAATCCTTCATGTGTTTGAATTTGTAAATTTTATTGAATAAAAAAAAGTTAAAATATTTTATCTACTCTTGCTGTTAAAGTGCCACATTATCTACCCTTGGGGTTAAAGTGATACTTTATCTACTCAAAAGAGTTGTTATAGCAACACTTTAACATTAGCTATGGAAAAAATATAATAAATTATACATAAATAAGGAAGTTCATAAAATTTATTAGAATATGTTAGAGGAATCGTAAATGTGTACCTTGTGTCACTTTTTTTTCACAAGTAAAAATAAGGAAAAAATAGTTACAAAGATACAGTATTATCTGATTGTACTTCAGTAAATGACTGTTTTGATGTATTATTTTCCTTGTCACGACGGATTTTTTAAAAATTTGAATTTAGGCTGTTCTTACCCTCTATTTCTAGAGCCTTGAGCCTAGGGATACTTTTTAGTCTGTAGACCTAGCAGAAACAGAGTTGTAGCTCATGAAAAGAAAGTTTTTATTTGTCAAATTCCGCATTAAATATTTCAATGTAGAACCACTAAAAATTAAAGCACCTGTCGGGAAAAAGTCAAAGCTTTTTGAAAATGTTTAAACAAAGTTTTATTGTTGTTTTTTTTTAGTTTATACAATCAAAACTAGGCGAGTTACGCTCAAAATAAAGTTGTTACCTTCTTTTTTCATAGAAACATCCTGAAAATCACCCGCTAAATAGCAACTTAAATAAAATTATAGTTTATTCGTCTTCCGGGTTTGGACCGTGTCATTTGTGAGTGACCCAAAAGTGGGTTCATCTCGACGTTTCGCTATAATTGTATGTAGCTTCTTCAGGAGAACAAAGAAAAAGAAATCAAAAGACAGGAAGATGCTGTCTTTTGATTTCTTTTTCTTTGTTCTCCTGAATGAATCCTGTCAGAATACTGCGGAATTCACTCCCCGCCTCTCGACGCGTAAATGTTCTGAGCTGTTGGACGTGAATCCCTGTCCTGGCATTTGGTTTTCACCTCTGGCTGCGTTAAGTAGTTGAGTTACTGTGACCAAATGCCCATCTTGGTAGTTAGTATTCGCCTCTGGTTGCATTGAGTAACTGAGTTACCGTTGCTAACTACCCATCTTCCTGTCTTTTGATTTCTTTTTCTTTGTTCTCCTGAAGAAGCTACATACAATTGTAGCGAAACGTCGAGATGAACCCACTTTTGGGTCACTCACAAATGACAAGGTCCAAACCCGGAAGACGAATAAACTATAATTCTGACTCTGGCCGTGGAAGCCTACGATTTCATTAAATAAAATTAATCAACACCGCTGTACAATTTACTCTATCTATCTATTGATTATATGATTTCTAAGTTTAACCGGTTAAAATTGTTTATTTTTGAAAAAATTTTGTTAAAAGTAAAAGAAAAATATTTGAAACTTTTACAAATTTTTTTTATTGACATTCTAATTTATTACAATCTGCATGTTTTACAAAGTAAGCATTAACTAATATTTATTTCGGTTAAACTATTGACATGTGGCGAACAATTGAACATATTCATTAACATGCCGCTCTTAATGGTAGTCTATAAAACTATTATTAGTTGTGGGAAAAACATGATTAGCACTACACTATGGTTTGTTCACACTAGATCACTATTACGTTTTAACCTATGCACTGTATGCGTTTGTATCAAATTTCTAGCTAGGTGAATTGGTTGTTCCCGCAATCGATCCTTGTATTTTTTTTTATTCGATATGTCATTTTTTTCCTTTACATAAGTTATTTCTGTATCTCTATGTACGGCTTTGTTTATATACCACGGTATATTTAAAATCATTTTTAGTATTTTGGATTGGAACATTTGTATCATTTCTGTATTATAGAATTTGACTGGCTTCAATACCGCTGTATAAAGGAGTCATTTATTAAGTTAAAAAAAATTATTTAAAAATTCCTTTATAAAAGTTATAATATTAAAACACCTTATCAGGCTAGAGCTTGATACCAACAAGTCCTCGTAGATATTTTGTCTCAGGACTAGCAACCTCCAGTGGAGTATTACGTTGCCATGTTATGCTCAAATTTAATTTATCAACATTTAAAGGGTTTTTACCCGTGTACTTAGTGGCTCAAATTATGTACAACCAGATAGCACCGATGATGAAATATTGATTCCGAGAAGGTTCTGTGATGTAGCCCTATGGGGTGTTTTAGTATTACTTATACCTTTTATAAAGGAATGTTTAAATACATTTTTTGTGATATATAGTATACAGCCAGCTACAGGAATTTAGTTTTCTTGTGAATTTTATTTTAAGTTGTCAACTGAGATTGTTTTTCTATGAGCCAGTACATGTTTCGCACTTTATAACCCAGTTGTTTTCTTTTGGAAAATATATGTGTTTTTTTCAGGCAAGTTTTCTGTCCAGGTGAATCCCAAGGTACTTACATTATATTACATTATACTACATTATCTTTCTGTGGTATTTGTTTGCGGTTAATACTGAACATATTTCTCTACAGGTTGTTAAAGGTTATATGTATCGACTTTTGCTCATTCGGTTTAATTCTCCATCTTTTTAAACATTTTTCGACTTTATGTATGTTATTTTGCAGGAGTTCCTATGCGATGTATGAATTTTTGTTGGAGCATAAGATCGCCATATCACCTGTAAATGTAGCTATTCTTATGCCCGGTAATGTTGGAAGGTCGGCAGTGTAAAAGAAGGTACAGGACATGACCCAACACACTTCCTTGTTGAACTCCCGCTGTTAAGCGGCCCCTAGACGGTCAATATTATTGTCAATCTATTGGACAATAATTTATATTGTACAATATATTGATCGTCTGTAGATCACATTGAATTATTGTGCAATATATTGTGTCAATCAACATGAGTTTGATTTTTATTGAGCAATATTGTAAATATTGCACCGTCTGTGAATAATATTGCGCAATATTGGTTCAGTTTCGTTTATCACTCTTGTTGTAAACATCGCGGTACGGCAAAAAATATGTCTGCAAAGGGAAAATGGAAAGAAAGAAAGTTTATTATAGAGTGCATCGATGTGTATCGGTCGTTACCGGCTTTGTGGAATGTCAAGAGTAAAGATTATAGTAATAAAATTTAAAATAATGAACATTACAGTCAATTACTCCAAAAATACAGAGAATATTATCCAGATGCTGAAAAGGTGCAGTTAGTGAAAAAATTCAATTCTTTGCGCACTAATTTTAGAAAAGAATTACATCGTATAAGGAACTCTGAAAAAAGTGGTGCAGGGACAGACGATGTAATTCAACCAACATTATGGTACTTTAGCGAAATGCAGTTTCTAGTGGATCAGGACGAACCTAGTGCTTCACAAAGTACTATACAGGAAGGGGATAATGATAAGGAAGAAGCAGATAATAATATAAACGATGTGGACAGTGATAATTCAAATACTATTTCAACAATCAGTGTAAGTATATAAAGTTTAATAATTCAAGTTTACATTTTAAGCAAATTTATGTTGCCATGAAACCTGTCCCTCGTTATTAAAAAAATCACAATAATTATCTCTGACACTTTTTGCTACAGCGGCTAAATTTCTGGCATGAGTTGTACAAAGCGATGTTGATTGTCCAGTTGTTCTCCAAGTTCCTTCAACAATATTTCCTGATGCCAAATCTTCTGCATCCACAGAAGTATTGTTCATGTATGACTGAGGCTGGTTTCTTCTTAAATAATTGTGTAAATAGCAACATGATAGTACGATGATTTGAGCTTTCTCAGGCGATAGTGTAATAGGTCGTTAAAATACATCGAATTTTGATACTAATATTCCAAATGCATTTTTCACAATGCGACGGGCACGACTAAGTCGATAATTAAAAATTCTTTTTTCCATCGTTAATCCTGTTTGGCTGTAAGGTTTCATGAAATTTTCTGTCAGTGCAAAAGCGTCATCTCCAACAAAGACAAAGGGTAGTATTCTTTGACTATTTGGCAACAGATCAGGTTCTGGGATTTTAAGTAAATTATCTGATAATGCTTTTCCAAATGCAGTATAATTCAAAACACCTCCGTCTGATATTCGTCCATTTATTCCTGCATCAACCATAATAAATTCATAATTGCTATTTACAACTGTCATCATTACAATACTAAAAAACTTTTTGTAATTGTAATATGAGCCTGTATGTGGAGGTTTTTTGATTGCCACATGCTTTCCATCTACAGCTCCTAGACAATTAGGAAAATTCCATTGAACATCGAATCCATTGGCAAAAGCTTTCCATTCAGCTTCTGTTGTTGGCAACTACAATTACAAGTTAAATTGTTAATATACAAACTTATTACGATTAAACAAAAATTTAATATATGTTTTTTCTTTACAGCAGCGCACAAAGGGGGGACCACCAAAAAAGAAGGCAAGAAAACTTGATGAGTCCAAACAGTTAATAGCTTTAGCCCGTAAACACCTTGAACAACCACCAAATAATTATGAAAAAATTGCTTCTGCTTGGGCAGTAGAACTTGAAAAATTGACGCCTCAGCAACAAATTTTTGCGAAAAAGGCTATTAACGACATACTATTTGAAGGTCAAGTT